ACAGTATATGAATGACAGCTACTACCTATATGTTATTTTTTTTTAACTTAGGTTATTTTCCCCAACTAATTATATTATTGCAATGTAGAATTAGAAGGCATTCTTTTTGTTCTGAAATATATTCAACTTGAAGTAAATTCATACATGTGAAATAGTTTTTTTGTTTTTTTTTTTTGCTTAGCTTTCTGTAAAAGCAGGAAGATTTAATTACATGTGCATGCTAAAAAGATACATTTTCTTTTTAAATACTTTTATAATATCAAGGAAATGACACTTGAATAAAATACTTAGCAATATCTTATTTTTTAATAATTTTATTGAGAAACAAATAACAATGAGACAGTTTCAAAACCGATCAGTAGGGCAGTTTCAATACTAAATACATTGCACAGCAGTATCTTATTTGAAACCTATTCTATATGATTTTTATTTTTTTTAATGCAATTTATTTAGTTTTTTGTGGTACCAGGGATCAAACTCAGGACCTTGTGCTTGCCAGGCAAAATACATTGTTTTTAAAATTTGAGAAATTGTGAAGTATAGGTTTGGAATTAGAGGAGGCTTTTACTAGAGGTTGCCAGGGTAGCTGTCTTTATGTGCTAAACAACTATAATGAAATTAAAGGAGCCAGTTTTCCTGTTGGAATTATGTAATTTATCACAAATCAGATGGGGCTATTGTACACAGTATTCAGAAATTTACTTTCAGAATATAAAAACCCAAGAGAATGAGTGAGATATCCGTCTTAAATTTGATATTACTGATTTCCAGTTCGAGCAAAATTGCAGACCATGTAAATGAAAAAGAGGATACTTAAGATACGTAAGGCTGAGGGTCAGAGTATGAAATTGAAGAGAAACTCATTCCTTTTTTAAGGCCTGCTTATATTCAGAGAGTGCTTTGAGAAATAGTCTTCTCAAAAAAAAGCAGTCTTGCATGGAATGGACTAGGTAATACTGGGGTAGAATTTAGGAGAAAGTTCAAAACAAAGTGAAAAAGAATCAGAAGAATAGTTCTCAACAGATATGATGGTGCTTACTATAGGACTGACCTCTCATAATCTGTTCCAATTTCATATATTTTTCAGGCATGGAGTATTGACAGATTGGTCAATGGCAAAATAACTCCTAACTTTACAATGGCAATCATTATAAAGTTAGTATTCCTTTTTAGAAATTAGCACCAAATTGTTTTGGACTACCTCTTTTCTGTGTAAGTGAACGTTTCTATCAGAATTTTCAGAAGTTACCCCATTGCTGTTCAACCAACTTTTTATTATTTTCTAGAACTCAGAAATGGTCATTTAATTTTTTTTTTTTATTTTTAAGTATAACTATATTGCGATCACCTTTGAGACACACTGGAGTAGACGATATAAATAAGAAAAATGACTGTTCTCTTTCATTATCTGAATCTTTCCATAAAAGCAATGTTTTAATTCAGCAAAACTGCTTAAATCTTGAATTCTCTACCCAAGAAGATAAGTTTTCCTTGAATGCTAACTATTGTAACTGTTTGTTTGGTTATACTTATGACTAGTTTGGTTGGAATTCAGTTTGTATTTGAGTGACTAAAATTGAAAAAACACGGGGGCCTGGCCCTAGCTCAGTCCATTAAGTGGCTGCTTCCACAAAGCTGTCAGCCTCAGGTTGCTGGAGTTTGGACCTCACAACTCTCCTGCTGGCCAAAAGTGCCCTGAAGGCATTCGAGGAACCAAAAAAAAAAAAAAAAAAACCATTATAAAATTGAAAAAACACTTTTTTCCTTTTAAACTGTAGTCGTGTGTTTAATAGCAGTATAATCTGCAAAATGTGTCATTAGGCAGCTTTGTCACATACATATCTAGTTGTATACTTACCCAGACCTAGATAGGATAGCCTGCTGCACACTTAAGCCACAGCCACCACTGTATATTTGGCGTGTCACTGATCAAATTGTCATTATGTGATTCGTGACTGTAGTTGTACATGAGTTCCTTTATCCAGCCAATGAAGCTTGACAAGTGATTACTTTCAATTGCTTAGGGAATAGCTTGTCATGCCGCATTTGAATTCAGACTGGGGCTCAGATTCCCACTCTGCCTGTTGCAAGTTGTTTTTCTCTTTCTTCCTTAGTCAGTTTGCAGTTTTAGGGTCATAAAGTCCATCTTGAAGGCTTTTGTGAACTGTTATTAATTTATTTAATAACTGCTTACAGATGCCTGATTGAGTATAGACATTGTGGATACTAGGGAGCATGATAAAATTCCTGTTCTTTAATGTTAGTGGGAGACATGTATCACACTTGTAAGAAAAAAAAAATGTAATTCTAGGTACTAAGTCATGGGTTCTGTGAAGAAAAACCCTGACACATGGAATTTAAAATGGCAAAGCAGGGCCAGTGAGATAGCTTAGTGGTCTCAAGTGCCTGCTTAAGCAAGCGTAGACAAGTTCAGGGACTGAGTTTTGATCCCCAGCACCACATGCTGCCCCAAGGTGGGCTGAGCTGGCCACCAAAAGATAAAATAAGATAAAATGACCTAGCAAGGAACTGCACCTTGCTTCTGAAACAGTTTCTACTGTATTCTATGGCTTAGGTGGTTGAGTTATCCATTTGTTCTTTAGAAGAAAATAGCTAAGTATGTAAGGGAGCTGTTGATAGGTATTCCATTATTAAGAAACTTATTTTGAGCCACGTGTGTGTGTGTGTGTGTGTGTGTGTAATTAAAAACTCAGTTTTATATTGAATAATTATGAGTGTTTTGTATGTGACACTCATTTTCTACCCAGTGTTTCCTTTAACAAGTGCTGTTATATAGTGTATACCTGTGTATGTCTCATTTTCTCAGTTGTGTTCTTCTTCAGTTGTCTGGAATATCTATGTCTTATACTTCAGTGGTTCTCAAACTTGAGTGTGCATCATAACCACCTCAGAGTGTCTAATCTGGGGAGTCTGGGGTCCACAGTTTGCATCCCTAACATTCCCCAGTGATACTAATGCTGCTGCTTTGGGGACACGTGGAGACCTACTAACCACCTTCTTGTCCCCTCACTGTACTGAAGATGTATTTATCACTTAGATGAACTGTTCACTTACCTGTGAGTCACTCCTTGACTTCTGTATTTACTGAAACTGTTATTCTCAAATTTTAGTGTGTATTAGGATCACCTGGGAAAACTGTTAACAAAGCACGTTTCTCTTTGGGCTACAGAACATTCATTTCTCTTTGGGCTACAGAACATTCATTTTTAGCAAACATGTTAGATATTAATGTAGATAATCCATGGACAATAGCTTGTGAAATATGGACTTACAAAATTCTTATTGTAATGAATATATTTCATATTTGTATCTGATTTTTAAAGTACTTTGTCTTTCTTTTGCCTGCATTCCTGAAGGGAAGACATATATCTTGTTAATTATTATATCTTAATGCTTAGCACATGACTTATGCAATGAACTTTGCCACTTGTTATTTAGGTCACCTTTGAGGGTTTATTTAGTCTTTTTTTTTTAAAAATATTATTTATTTATTTATTTTTTAGAAGTATTTAGAAGACCTTTTCCAGATTTCAGTCCAAAGGTTTTTAGTACTTGCACTCAGCAGTTTGACCCTATATATTCCAATAGTCCGTAATAGTAATGAGTTATCAGTGCAGCTGATAATTGTCAGAAGTTGTTGGTGACTTGAACCTTTCACAGGTTACCATATTAGTATGGCATTACTTTTCACATCTCATGGTAACACTTTTCTGCTGTATGGATAAGACCAAGTTAAGACCTGTATATATACAAATTGAACTTTTGCTATCTAACAAGGTCAACTAAATCTCCTCTGGATTTACCTTGAAACCATGTACAGCACCTCTTTGATCTTCTGTCAGTGTCAGCCATCTGGATGAGTCACAGCCATTGCTTGACCAATTTGCTTTTTGTGAGAGCTTGAGAGATATTTTCTCTTCAGGTGTCTTTACTTAGGCACACAGTACATCATAAATCCCTTTCTGTGTGGCCCCATAACCTCCTTGATCAGAAAATTAGGGACTCAACTGAGTTACAGGATGTCACAGCAGAGGTTCTCTTATATCCTGAGTCCTCCATGACCTGGAAGGGCTAGGGCCAAGATATTGGCTATTCTTAAATTTCTGTGTAAAAATATGTAATTGTTGCCTTTTACATTCTATAGGGATATTAGAATATCTGTGGTTGTTACAAAATAACAGTTCCATTTTATGCCAAAGATGTCTGAAAGTCAGATAGTTTAAGCTTACTGCATCCAATAGAGGATAATGTCATTAAGCTTCTCTTCTGGATGTTTAACAACTAAAGTTTGGATACCGAAAATTAGACAGATGGACTATTTGATCTCTTTAAGCTTCAGTTTCCTCTTGTACAGTGGTGATAGTAGTATTTGTTTGCTGTGGAAATCAGCAACACTAATTCATTATATATCAAATAGTATAGTAGCATACACAGGATAAATTCAGTAAATGGAAACCATCACAATTTTGTGCTTGCTGTTGTATTATGAAAAAACCTCCAGTATTATGATTTTAGTATCCATTTCAGTATATGTGCTTTTACTATTATAATGATTTCTCAATTCAGTGAATTATATCAATTAAATATTATTTTAATTTGAGTATTTTAATAAAATATTGTGAAGTAAAATCATGCCTTGGGCTTCTTTTTCTCCCACAGGGAAACAAAGAAATCGCTTGGAACCAATGGATACCATATTTGTTAAACAAGTTAAAGAAGGTGGACCTGCCTTTGAAGCAGGATTATGCACAGGTGCTGATCATCTTTGAACAATGCTTTTATTTTTTTTTACTTTTTCTGTTTTCAACATTGTATTTTATATTTTTTCATTTTCTATCCTTTTATGTGTTTGTCTCTTTTTCTTCATACCTGTTATTACTGTTTTTGAAACCTAATCCCATGTTTTTGTTTCAGATAGATGGGTTTAAAGAGAAAAAACATAAATAGATAAATCGTGGACACGTTGAGTTATCCCATAGATGACAGGTGTGGAGACAGTTTTGAAGAGTCATTTTTCATGCACTAAAGTTTTACAAGGGATTACTGGCAAGATAACAAACTGATGGATATTTATTGGATATAATTGAAATACTCTTGGATCCCCAACTTCTAGAAGTATTTGATCAGCCAAAGGCAAATTGACTTGGAGCACTGAGTGGCTTAGGTTTGCAGTGGCACTGCAAGCTCCTTTTTGGAGGATGCGGATCGAAGTGGATGTGCTCTAATTAGCTGGATGCAACTGCTGTTTGGTAGTATTAGTATTACCACATATTGGTAACTTTAATTATCTTTTCATATATGTAAAGTAAGCCTAATTTTAATATCGATGTGAATGCATATCAGTGTACATGTGGGAGTCCATTAAAAATAGTATATCAGTTTTCATAATCTAAATGTTGCAAAATTGAGATTTAGTGGGGCTCCTGTAAATATATAAAAATTACATTTTCCCTATTTTCCTCTGTCCTTTTTTTCCCTCTCTGTCCTTTTTCTGATTGATTCCTTTTTCTCTTTTGTTGTTTTTGATTCCTTTGAATTTTTCTGAGTAACCCAGTATATTTTCTTCAATACATTAACATGTATAAAGACGAAAGCACGTACAGACTAGTCAATAAACCAAATATGTAGATTAAAAGAATATTATAAGAAAATAAGCTGGATTAAAGGTAGAAGACAAAAAACAGTAGTTTAAATTTGTTGAGTAATATTCTCTTAAGAGAAGTGACAAGAAAAATGAAGGAGCTAGTAGTACTTCTATAAAGCAGAAAACTAAATAGTGTAGTTGTGGTCACTTGGTAAATATACTTTTCCCAGTTTATAAATTTGTTACTGTCTAGAACTTTTTATTTAGAACATGGCTGTGTTTCATAAACTGGATATATTAAATTTTGGATTCGTTTTTGTAAAAGGTACTTTTAAAAATGAATGAGGAAGAGAGCTGGCCAGATAGCGCAGCAGATTAAAGTGCCAGCTTAGGCAGACACGGAGACTCAGGTTGGATCCCGACCAGGGTGAGCATGCCAGCGCTTCCCTGGGGCTCACTGAAACAGCTACTGAGACTGGGCATGGTGACATGCACCTGTAATCCCAGTGGTTGGGAGGCTGAAAATAGGAGAATCACTATGAGTCTGATCTGTGTAGTGAGACTCTGTAGACCCTGTACTAAGTACATTTTTTAAAAAACATTAATGAGGAAGGATTATTAAAATAGGGTCTTTCTTGGGGCAGGAGGTATGCTCAGCGGTATGGCACCTGCCTGGCATGTGTGGGCTCTGGGTCCGGTCTCCAGCACTGCACACACACAAAAGGACCTTCTCAAAAAATAGTTCCAAAGGGATTCAAAAGTGATTTTACTTAGGACTTCCTCACGTGTGTTTTTTATTTAGTTTTGTTTTGTTTCGTTTTACTCTTTGAAGGTGACCGAATCATTAAAGTCAATGGAGAAAGTGTTATCGGAAAGACCTATTCCCAAGTAATTGCGCTAATTCAGAACAGGTAAGATTCCTGAAATAATGAATTTGGCCAGAGACAGGCTTTACACATCAATGGAGCAAGTAGATTTTATATAATTTTACATTCTTGTAAGGAATTAAGATGTTATAGAGATGTGTAACTTTACAGTGGCACTGGCGCTGCTGAGAATCACCTTCCTAAAGATAACTTAGTTGATGGTTTTGCTTTGTCAGATTTGTCATAAAGTACTGCTGAGTCTGAGAGGCACATTTTTACGTTTATTGTAAGTTACTCACTTGTATTAAAGTGGCAAATATATAATGTTTAAAATAAATACAAACCGGGGCTGGGGAGATGGCTCAGTAAGATAAGCACTTGACTGGCAAATGCAAGGATCTGAGTTCAATTCCCAGTTCCAAAAAAATAAATAAATAAAATAAAATAAATACAAACCTAGTGTATTTATTTATTTATTTATTTACTTATTGTATTTTAGGGAAGGGTCTACAGGGTGTTCAGGGTCTCATTACTAGATCGGACTCATAGTGATCCGCCTATTTAGAGCCTCCCAAAAGCTGGGATTACAGGCACATGCTACCACGCCCAGTCTCAATTGCCATCTCAGCATGCTCTGGGGGTGAGGGATCGAACCCCCAGCCTCTGTGCCTGGTTGCAGGTGCTTTAATCTGCTGAACTATTTGGCTGGCCCTTTGTTTTATTTTGTTTTGTTTTGGTGGTACCAGGGATTGAACTGAGGACCTTGTGCTTGCCAGGCAAGCACTTATTCCACTGAGCTATCTATCTGGCCTCAAACCTAGTTTAAAGCCTTCAGATATATTACTTTTAATATATTGAATATTCTTACTGAATAAACTTTTTGTCATAAAGTTATTCATTTAAACCAATATAGCAGGATATTTCTTTTTAATTAATTTGTCTACCTTCGATCTGTAGAATAATCGAATTTTGAGTACTAAAGATAAAAAATGTGTATTTACAGAATGACTATCTGGGTCTGATTTCCAGATCATAACTGTTCTAGGATGTTCTTCCTAGATTAAACTGCCATAACTGTGGTATTAAGTAAGGTTTTATATTAGCTTTACTTAGCTTCATGAAATTATTTTCTAAAGATTATTATCATGCTCTTTTAGACATATCTAAAGCAGTTTGGGTTGTGGTCTAAATTAGCTGTATTGGGGCCAGGCAGATGGCTCAGTGGAATAAGTACTTCCCTAGCAAGTGCAAGGGTCTGAGTTCAATCCCCGGTTCCGCAAAAATAAATAAATAAGCAAGCTGTATTAATGCTCTAATCCACAGTCATTTTGTACAATTAAGGGACATGATCATGATTAATTGATCTTAGAGCATTTTTTTTGTTGTCGTCATTTATTTATTTATTTACTTATTTATTTGGTACAGGGTCTTGCTATGCAGCTTGGACTCATAGCGATCCTCGTCTCAGCCGCCCCAGTACTGGGATTATAGGTGTGCACCACCATGCCAGATTGCAGGAACGGCATGGCATGCCCAGTGTTCTGGAGCTGGCATGGCATGTGGTACCGGATATCAAACCTAGGTCCTTGTGCTTGTCAGACAGGCACTTAGACCTCTGAGCTATCTCCCCAGCCCCAGAGCATTCTTTCTCATGTTTTAGTATTTAATAAGATTTTTGGAGAAAACATCTTTTCCCCCTGTTTAGGGATAGAATACCCAGAGACGTATTCTGAGCTATACATCCCTAGCCCTTTTTTATTTTGAGACAGGATCTCACTAAGTTTTTAAATTGCTGAAGATAAACTCAAATTTGGAATCCAGCTGCCTGAAGCTCCTAGATATCTGGGATTGCAGGCTTGCTCCACCATGCTTCACTGAGGAAGCTACTCTCAAATCTTGCCTGTAAAGTCAGTGATGAATAAAAAGCCTCTTAACAAGACAGCAGCAGAGCAAACATTTTAGTTTCTTCACAGTAATTGGAATCTTCATAAATAAATTAGTATGTTTTGTGAACCTATCACTTAAGGATTTTTTGTGTTTGTGTTAGTATGTCTTTTAGAATATTCTTAGTAACCACAGCTTCATCTTTGTTTTCTTCAAAATCTATGTAACTTTCTTTGTTACTGGTGTAGATCTTTCAGAGCAAATAACACTTTGGAATAACAGTCTTAGTTAGTGTTCAGTGTTTACAGCCAATAAAAGCAATTTGAAAATTAGAGAAATTGCTTTTTCATGATTATATTTTCTTTTTAAAAACTGTTCCTTTTGTCTGCAGCTGGTAGTAGATAATGCAGCACAGAGATTGAGGTTCTACAGTGCACTAACATAAAAAATGTATTCTTGCAGAATAATTTTTCTAAACCTCAACAAGTATTTTCAGATAAGTTTACTAAAGTACAAATGCTCCTACTTGTACTAGTTATTCATTTGAATTTGGTGTGCTCGTTGGTTTGCCATTCTCACTTGTGATCTAAAATAGGATTTAGTCTACCAACAAGAGACACCAGTAAATTATGAGATTTAAATTTTTGGCTCTTTGCTACTTAATCTTTGATTTATATTGAAGGAGAAATTTGCTTTTTTTTTTTTTGCGGAACTGGGGATTGAACTCAGGCCATTGTACTTGCCAGGGAAGCGTTTATTCTACTGAGCCACCTCCCGGGCCCCTGATATTGTTAAAAGAGCTGTTGATGTACTTGATGGAGATAGCATCACTATCCTTGCTATATCTGAATGTAATTCTTCATCACAAGATTCAGTTTAATCTCTTCTACTTTTTTGTTTATTTTGTTTAGTTTTTTGTTTGTTTGTGTCAAGTTCTATGATAATTTTTTTTTTTAATTTTTGGCCCACTCAGGATGCCTTAAGGGCAGGTCTGGTAAGGCATGAGGATCTGGGATCCAACCACAGAATTCTGAGCCTGACTGCTTTGCTTAAGCAGGCACTTAATCAACTGAGCTAATGGGCAGGCCCTTCGTTTGAGACTCTTAAGGATAGAACCTAAGACCTTGCACATATGCTAGGCAGGTACTTTTGTCAATGAGCTGTCCTCCAAGCCCCCTTTTAAACCTAGATAATTCTCTATCACGCTTTAAAAAAAAAAAATACAGCATGACAATAAGACAAGATTTTGAGTGGTTGCTGAAAGGCTCTAAAATACAGGGCTGAAAACAGCTAGTTGAGATGATACTGTGATCGTTAAAAATAAATAATTTCTATAGTTGTGATAGTGAACTGATTTCCTTTAGTCTGAGGCTGAGGAAATATTTCAGAATTAGGATGTTTAGTAATGCTTCAGTTGTTCAATTTGAGAGTCTCAGTGTTTGAGGGCTTAGCCATGTACAAGGCCCTGGGTTTAATCCCTGGAAATACCAAAAGGAAAAAAAAAGCTAAATCGGAGGGTTCTTTTGTGGTTTTTAATCAAGTTTTTAACTTTGTAGCCTATGTGATAAAAATCTGTTTGTGACTTACAACCATAAGTAATTATATATTAGTATTACTCGTGAGTTTTGTTGTAGAACAACAAAATATATGTAGCATATTTTGTATTTCTAAATTATAAGCACATTAAAAAGACTTGACTGATTATACAAGAGCATAAACATATGGCAGGGCCTCTTGTACATTGTTGACTTTCCTATATAAAAGTAACTTCTTTCTGTTCTAATGATTTGTTCTTTAAAACTAAAATTTTAAAAACACCAAATTAAATTACTTTAATTATTTTAATATTTGGACTACTTTTCCTGTCTATTAAATACTTCTGCCTCTCTTAAAGTAGTACAATATATTTAATTTCAGTGGTACGACATTGGAACTTAGTGTGATGCCAAAAGATGAAGATATTCTCCAAGTGGTAAGTTTTGACAACGAATTATTTTATAACCATGAATGTTAACAAAATAGATTTGAGATAGAAAGTGGATTATATCAAAAATGATTCTAAAAACAACACCCTCTGATTCATTTAGTAGATTCTGGAATTCTATTTACAAAACAAGATCATTGTTTGGAATTAAATGAGAATGTTTTGAGTCCTCAGCGAGGCAGTGTTTTCCTTTAGGGGATTGCATGTTGCACTGTAGGTTTTTCCTAACCAGTATGACCTCACATTGCATTGTTAGTAGTCATTTGACCCAAAGCCAAAGCTCAGAGACCTAGTACCTGAAGCTAGGAATGAGAATCTTACTATTTTTTTTTTTTAAGTGGAAGGATAGAAGTTTTATGAAAACCATTCCTAATTATTTAATTAATATTACTGTTTTAAATTAACCAAGCAGTGTTGCATTAGAAGTAGTGTTCACAATGAATGAAATCTAGGAGAAAATATGTTAGAAAAAAGGAAACTACACAGGTGAAAAATAGCATTTAGTCTAAAATGTTTTTCTGATGTTTGTAGAAAGAAATTTAATGGAATACTTACATCTTATTCAATTTAAATATTATTGAAAGTAAATAGGTTAAAAAGGATAAATATAAATTTTGCTCAAGAAAATAATGTACTTTTCTTCATTTCACTCTTTAGCTCAGAAGAATAAAAAGATTGAGTAAAATTCTTTAACTGGTACACTGACCACTAACAGCTCTAGGAAGAGGCCGTGGCCATTAAATTAGTTTTTAAAATTTCCTTTTAGTAAACATTGAGTTCTTATTATTTATATCTGAATTCAGGAAAAGCAGGGAATTTAATATTTGAATTTAGCACAACAAAAATCCTAAATAAACTGGGTGTACATTATTTTCAAAAAGTTACTAAAGCAAATCCTAATGACTCATCTTATTCACTAACATGCTAAATTTAATTAGCTAAAATCCATGGACATGAACTCAGTGTTTTCAAGATGTGCTCATTTCACATAAGAATGATTTATCACTGATAACAGATAACCTGCTCCTGTATGGTTGGGGATATTCAAAAAGGCAAGTTCAACTCTACAGTAATTTCCTCAGGCACATGGAGAGGTAATTATTATTTTCTACCCATATAATTCATTGCAGTGCTCAAGTAGCAGCCATAGCCATCAGTTTAGAGTCTTTAGATGTAAAGACAGACCGACGTCCAAAACTGAACTGCTCCCTAAACTTCAGTACACTCTTTCCTTGCCATAGTAAAGGGGTAGAAAGAACATGCACCCCATAGAAAAAACGCTGCTCACTTCACAGAATGCTTCGCATTGTGCTAAATTTCTAAGAAAGGAACTAACTGCAAAATTGCCCTGATAGTCAATTACATGGTATATAAAGAGCAGCACACTAAAGGCAATGGAAAGAGTAATTTTCTAATAATATGATCAATGGAAAATTAAGATAATCTTTTTTGTTATATTTTACATACAGTAAGTAAGTATAAAATAAAGGTAAAATTCAAGATATAGCAAACAAAGAAAAATTAATTTAGTAGCTAACATAAGCATGCGCATCTCCAATGTGCATCACTAAAGGATTTCAGTATAATGTAAAATAAAATCTATCTTTTAAAGCATACTATTATGGGCTATGGAGATAGTTCAGTGGTCTACAAGCTCAAGGACCCAAGGTGATCCCTGGTATCACATGCCATTCCAGTCCTGCCCCGGGCACACCGAGCCAGCCACCAAGACTGGGTGTGGTAGCACACATCTATAGTTCCAGTACTGGGGAGGCTGAGACAGAAAGTTCACTATGAGTCTGAGCTGCATAGTGAGACCCTGTACTGAATACATAAAATTTAGAAAATATATATATTTGAAGTATTCTAATTGTAAAGTACATGTCTTTAATGATAAAGGAAAACTCTACTTTTAAACTTAAGCCATAATTTATATCTTAGTGTATATGCCACCAAAGTAAGCATAATAATTCACATTTTTATATACTTGGTTAGGAAATCAAAGTGATATGTATATATAATGCTCTATAAAAGACATTAGGAGGACTGGCCAAATAGCTTAGCGGATTAAAGCACCCACTAGGCAGACACAGGTGTTGCAGGTTCCATCCCTGGCCTGCTGTGTCGGCCCTGCCCCAGGGGTGCACTGAGACAGCAGATTGAGACTGGGCGTGGTGGCTTGCGCCTGTAATCCCAGCTCTTGGGAGGCTGAACACAGGCGGATCATTATGAGTGTGATCTACATAGTTAGACCCTATAGACTCTATAAATGCAAAAAAAAAAAAAAAAAATAGGATATTTTAGCTTCTTGTCTACATAAAGTGTTTTTCACTAGGCTACTTGCAGTGTCATTTTTTAGCACTAACATAAAGAGAATCTGAGATTTTAAAAATCATACATAGAAATGTTTGTAGCACAGATAGAACTAAAATTTCTGCAAGGAGCCTTTAGAAAAGTACTTAACCTCATCTAAATTTGTTACTCAAATGATATGCTTTTGCAGATGTATTTATCCTTGTGATTCTGAACATCAATTGTAAGGAAAAGCTAAGCAGCATGAGCATTTTTCACAGCCAGTATAAAAATCATTTCTCATGGAAAAGCCATGATAGTTTATATGTGTCGGCATAGACAACAGCAAGGCTAGGGAGTCTGCAGTTTTTGTTTCCTAAAAGTAATACATAGAGAAATTTTTCTAGAAGTATACAGCTATTGTAGAGAGTTCAATTTGGTCCAAAACCTACGTTACAGAAAAATAGTTAAATAATGATAGTTAATAATTATGGATGACAATGGCATAACATTGAAAGGCATGAAGTGTAAAATTATATATAAGTAATTTATTGTTTTACAACCAATGTTGGTAATAATACTTTGGTGCTTGGCCTCATTTTTAAGACAACTTGTATTTTCAATTAATGATATGAATAATGCTATATTTTAGTTAGTATGTTATAAAAGTATTTTAGACTGACAGCTTAGGTTCATATATCTAAGGAATTACAAAACAAAAGTACTTCTTATTTTATTTTCAAATAAAACAAAAGAAAAAATTTTTGCCTATCAAATGTCATCCAGGCATGAATAAAATAACTACCACCCAAAAGAGGTGTAACAAAGTCTGTTGAGGCTCTAACAACATGTCTACATAAAACACTATTTCATAAACAACAAACACTATTTCTCCTAGTTCCAAAGGTTGGGAAGTCTAAGGTCAAGGCTCAGTGTGTAATAAGTTTGGTTTCCTCAGGAGTGGTACCTGCTCACCGTGTCTTCTGCTGGTGGAGAGGCCGAGGTAGCTGTGTGGGGCCTCTTTGTAAAAGCACTAATCTCCATGATGACTCTACCTTCATGACCACATCACCTCCCGAAAGTCTTATTTCTTTCTAATACTATCATGGTATGAGTTTAGGAGCAAAGAGCCTATACCATTGATTAATCTTTCTTTGAATAAAATAGTGATAGGAAAACTATATCTGGGTATTTTTCTCAGTGCACAACATACTGAGACTGGCTCAGTGTATTCAAAGATTGATTAGATTTTAAGTTAATTGGTCCTGATAACACTGGTGATTCTTGGGTGTTTGAGATGATGTGGCCAGGACATTTTCAGTATGCTCTTCTGCTATTCTCTGCTAACCACAACCAAGTCATACAGCTTTGTGTTTAAGTTGGTAGTAGGCCTTGAACTCTGCAGGCCTGAGATGAATGGCTGCACTCTAAACCACAGTGCTGTCCTGCCATCAAGGACAGATCATTTCAGGTAGTATAAACATAAGGTGATTTAAGTCATACTGTTAGTTGTATCAGAGTTGTCATTTTTTCTGTTGTAGTTGTTGTTTTGGGGGTTTTATTTTGGATTTTTCTGGTAATGGGGATTAAACCCTTGACTTTTGAACTGAGTCACATTTGTGGCCTGTTTCTTTATTTTCAAGTTGAGACAGAGCCTTGCTAAGTTTCCCAGTCTGGGCTCAAACTTCTGGTCCTTCTGACTCATCCCTAACTCAGCCTTCTTGGACTTTGAGTCCAGGGCTCTATTTGTCACTCTATGAATGTGTGATATAAGTTTTTTTTCCAGTAATTTAATCAAAATTTTTGTTTTAAACTTACTAGTGTTACTTTGAACAGAATGAATTTTATGGGCCATGATTAATATAATATTCTATTTAAAATTAAGTGTTCATTTGTGATATGTAGATGAAAGTGTTTTTCTGTAGTGAATCTGTGTGTGTGTGTGTGTGTGTGTGTGTGTGTGTGTGTGTGTGTGTGTGTTTTAAACCAGAAATTGAACTCAGGACCTCACACTTGCCAGGCAGGCACCACACCAACTAAGCTATATCCCTGGCCCAGTAAATCTGTTTTTAAGCATAAGAATAAAACATGTTTTTTTGGGAAAAAAAGTTAAAATAAGGTAAAAGAGCAGAGGGTGGGCTGGCCAAATAGCTCACCGGGTTATGCTCAGGCATATGCAGCAACCGGGATCCTGAGTGTGATGTGCCAGCCCTGCCCCCAGGACACACTGAGACAGCAATTCAGACTGAGCATAGTGATGTAACCTGTAATCCCAGCACTTGGGGTTCGATCACTACAAGTTCGATCTGTGAAGTGAGACCCTGTACTAAATACATAAAAAAATTTTTAAAAAAATAATAGTGTAGTGTATATGTTTCTGTTGCTAAAATATATTTCCCTTAATTTGCATGAAGGAGGTATCTTTAGTTCTGTAAGTATTTCCCAAGCAGACATTCTAGTAGTAACGTTGAACCCCTGAAGAAAAAGGAAAACCTCTGAGTGTTATATGAGGACTATGTTTTACATTGAGTTTCACAGTGTATGCTGATAACACGGTGGTTTTGAGATGTCCAGAAGCTTGCCAACTTCCTATGTATCCCTGACTCTAGGGAGGAACCTGCCCTCCTTTAGTGGGTACATCATGCAGTGTCACAAACCTGCTGCAGGAAATACTGCACCAGACAGTACAGGGTGTGCTCATCCTGTCACAGAACAGCGGGGGTGTGGACATCGTCAGCCTGAAAAGCCTGAGCTTGTTACATCCCTGCACACACCCCAGATGCAGGTGCTTGTTTGGATTGGCTGTGTTTATGCTGTAAAACATTATGGCATACATATTTTCTTCTACTTATTTAGCTTTAATTTCTCCCTGTATTCCAGTCTCTGTTCTGTAATATTCATTACAAGTTTTACTCCAGAAGTAATATTTTTATGTGTTTAGTAGTTGTTTCATAAACCAGTAAAGCAGCACAAAAGGTATAGTGCTGAAAGATCTTAATTTTTGAGTGAAATCTATTTAACATGACAGTGTCTTTTCCCTCAGATTATAGTGTAAAGGCAGCAGCAGTCAGCTGACAGCTTGTAGTTATGCTTTGATTTACTGGGAAGGAGGAGTTGTACTATTTTAAATGCATAATAGAACATTCGTTTCGTCATCTGGAAGCAGGGATGGAAGAAGCTCAGGGGAAATGAGAGACAGCAATGTTGCTCCTGTAGAAGGGAAGCTTTGTAGCCTATTATCAGACAGCGGTGCCTATTGAAAAAAATGTCTATTAGGGATGCATGTTTCCAGATGTATTTTGCATGCCAGAGCATTTGACAAATCAAGTAAGAACCAGATAAAAGCCTGATAAAAAGATGCTCAGAAGGATACTGAACTTGTTCTTTATGCTTCACTGCCCTTTACCTCTCTTGGTACCTTCCAGAAGAATTCAGTATAGATGTATTTTTAGCTTGCCATTTCCAGCAACAATATGACAACATGATTCTGTCTTTATATCAGTAAGCAGCTTCTACTATGTTTTCCTATTTTCTACTAGCTACAATTTACAAAGGATGTCTCAGCACTGGTAAGAAATGCTCAGTAGCCATTTCCTTGCTTCTTAAGTTATGTTTTAGACATTTGTAATAAGCCAGTCTATTAAAAGTCTTAAGTTTGCTTAGAAAAATTCTTCCATAGTGTTAATCTTACTAATTTGCAAAAAGTTTGTGATGTATGGTTTTCCTTCTTTTTTGTCTTTTATTTTTTTGTATCCTATAAATAACTGGTATTGTTAAAGCATGATATTTATTTGCATCAGTGTATTTTAAAGTATTTCTCCCTTTCCTTGGTACTTTGCTGTTATGTTTGTAGCTGCACTTGAGCTTTGCAAGTTGTCATATGCAAAGACAGGATCTGATGATAGTCTTGAATTAAGCTGCTTTTGATTAGGGAAAGATATGTTAACAAACTTGGCTGCCTAGGTGCTGAACATAGTCCTGTATGGTAGTTAAGAGCTTTGTTTTATAGAGTCACTGTAGTTAATTTCAGTTCCTCAATGTTTAAAGATATTTCTAGATAATTTTATAAGTTAATAAAAAATAATTTGAGCTGCATGCCTGTCTGCCTGCTCGTAATATAGAAATGTCTTCTTAAAATAAGTAAAGAACCCAATAAACTTACAACATTTGCTTAAAATGTGATATACAGAAAGAGGAATTACCTTTTATATGCTTGTGCTTTTAACAGATGTACTTAATTTATTAAGCCTGCATATTCTTTTAAATATTAAAATATGGCTTTTGAAGGGCTTAATTTATCAAGATGGATTTTTATTAATGAGGATAATGGTTAATTGGCAAGATATTTCAGTAAATTATATTTATGATAGTAGTGGATAAAATAAAAATTATTTGGCTAAATTATAATATTTTTACCTTCTAAATGGCAAAAGATTAAAGACTCCTTATTTGCTTGGACTTCTTAGGCAGCCGTTTAACCTGTCGACTGCTCAAAAAAAAAGCCAAATCATAAAGTTCCATTAGGAAAAATTTTAGAAGCAACATGGCTTCATCTATTGGTTGGGGGAATTTTGATGTATGTCACATCTTTTTAAGAAAACAAGTGTTTATAATTTGTATTTGTTGCAAATTGTACTCTTAACTAGATTTGTGAAGCACATTTATGTTACGTTTATGTGCATGCTGTGGTGACTGTCATTCAGGAACAAGTACAGTAATGACCTTAAAGACATGGAAATTATTATTCTTTTTATATGTTTGAAGTGACATTTTTCTCTCATTTCCAAACAGGCATATTCTCAAGATGCCTACCTAAAAGGCAACGAAGCCTACAGTGGCAATGCCCAGAACATACCTGAGCCTCCACCGATTTGCTATCCCTGGCTGCCACCTACCCCTTCAGCCATGGCACAACCAGTTGAGGTATCTCCTCCAGACTCATCATTGAATAAACAACAAACTACTCCCACAGTCCTGACACAGCCTGGCAGGGCCTATAGAATGGAAATACAAGTGCCTCCATCACCAACAGATGTTGCAAAATCAAACACAGCAGTGTGTGTTTGCAATGAAAGTGTGAGAACTGTCATTGTGCCTTCTGAGAAGGTTGTAGACTTATTACCCAATAGAAACAACCATGCAGGTCCTTCACATAGAACTGAAGAAGTGAGGTATGGCATAAATGAGCAAACCTCTTTAAAAACAATGTCAAGAACAGTATCACCATCATCAATTCCTGCTGCCCATCTCATCCATCAGACTGCAGGCTCCAGAGCATTAGAATCTTCTGGAATTTTACTTAAGTCTGGAAATTACAGTGGACATTCAGAAGGAATCTCAAGCAGTAGATCTCAAGCTGTAGATTCTTCTATATCTGTTAATCACTATTCCCCAAACTCCCATCAGCACATAGACTGGAAAAACTATAAAACTTACAAAGAGTATATTGATAACAGACGATTGCACATAGGTTGTCGGACAATTCAAGAAAGGTTGGATAGTTTAAGAGCAGCATCTCAGAACACGACAGAGTATAACCAAGTGGTACCCACCCGCACTACTTTGCAGGTACGACGTCGAAGCACCTCTCATGATAGAGTACCCCAGTCTGTTCAGATCCGACAACGCAGTGTGTCCCAAGAAAGACTGGAAGATTCTGTGCTAATGAAGTATTGTCCAAGAAGTGCATCTCAAGGAGCACTGACATCCCCATCTGTTAGTTTTAGTAATCATAGAACTCGTTCCTGGGATTACATTGAAGGGCAAGGTGAAACCTCAGAAAATGTAAATTCTGAAAATAAAATACCTGATTCAAATGAAGAACGAAAACAAACATATAAGTGGAGTGGATTTACTGAGCAAGATGATAGACGAGGTATTTATGAAAGATCCAGGCAGCAAGAAATTCATAAATCTTTTCGAGGTTCAAATTTGACTGTGGCCCCAAGTGTTGTTAATTCTGATAATAGGCGAATCAGCAGTAGAGGAGTGGGATCTGTGTCGCAGTTTAAAAAAATTCCACCAGATGTTAAAATGCTGCCATCCAACAGAACTTTTCCAACTGCTAGTGGCATGTCACTGCCTCGGGGCATCTCACAGGACAGGTCCCCTCTTGTGAAAGCCCGAAGTAATTCTCTGAAAGCGCCTTCTACACATGTTGCAAAACCATCATTTAGCCAGAATTCATTGGTTTCTGTCAAAGACCAAAGACCAGTAAATCATTTGCATCAAAACAGTGTTTTGAACCAGCAGAACTGGTTCAGGACTGAAAGTCCTCTTGATCACCGAGGGGAGACTGGGAAGTCTCTTCCACCATCTGGAGCTGCAAAGCCTGGCCCTCAGCTGAGCGAGGGCTTGGGCACTGCAGATTTGGAATTATCTGCCAGTCAAAGGAACCAAGATGCAAATTTACAAGAGGCTGATATTCAGCAGTCAGATATTTTAGATAATAGAGAAACTGTCATCCTAAGAGAGAAGCCTCCTTCAGGCCGCCAAACCCCACAGCCTTTAAGGCACCAATCATACATCTTGGCTGTAAATGACCAGGAGACTGGGTCTGACACCACCTGCTGGCTGCCCAATGATGCCCGCAGAGAGGTCCACATAAAGAGAATGGAGGAGAGGAAGGCCTCGAGTACCAGTCCACCTGGTGATTCCTTGGCTTCCATCCCATTTATAGGTGAGTGTGGTAGAGTCATTGGCTAATTTGTTGATTATAAGAAATCTTTTCCTATTTCCACAGGCATAGAAATTTAACACTAACTTTAAAACATTTGTTTTGAATTTTGCAAGTTGTGCATCATCTACACTATCATCTTTATTCTTAATATTATTTTCAGCATCAGGTTTTTTTTAAACTTTGAGTCTAGCACTTGTAAAACTTTAAAATTAAAAATAATATTAATTTTAAGAGTCTCACTACACAGATCAGACTCAGTGATCCTCCTGTTTTTCAACCTCCTGAGTGCTGGGATTACAGGCACATGCTACCATGCCTGGTCTCATTCTCAGTCTCAGTGTGCCCTGGAGTCAGGACCAGGCATGGCAGGCCAGGAATCAAGCCCCCGGCCCCTGTATCTGCCTAAACAGGCACTTTAATCTGCTGAGCTATCTATCCAGCCCAAAAATTTTAATTTTGACTAAACAAAAATTCTCACCATTTGGCATCTGAAACCAAGAGAACCAATTATACTTACTGTTGACTCACCTGAATCAAAAACCAAGTAGAACAGTTTTGATAATTAGCAATCATCAACCTTTTGTTTAAACAGTTCCTTTTCTTTCTGCAGCTTTTTTTTTTTTTTT